TGGGCAAGGGGTCGCAGATAGCGCTCTTTTGGTTCCTAAAGCGACTGCAGAATCTGCCAGCAGATCCAAAGTAAGAACAGCATTCCTGACTCTTTGCTCGGTGACAAATGCTCAACATGAAAAAGTGGGAGGCGGAAGGCCGCATAAGATGAAACCCGATCGGGCCAGCTCGAAGAACCCCGGCCTCATGCACATGCGACCTGGCCACTCCCCCCCACGGCCTGTCTGAACAAAGCCCGGCCTCATGCACATGCGACCTGGCCACTCCCCCCCACGGCCTGTCTGAACAAAGCAAGATCATAAGCTAGCCAGATCACTCTCCGCCCAAAGCCAGTTGGAAGGACGGTAAGTTCCGGAACCACTTTGCGCATTATGAGAACGCCCTACAAGGCCCGGCGAACCCGCAATCCACCCCCGTCACTGCCTGCATGCAGAAGCCGCCCTCCCCGGCCGTCCATCGCGTTGCAGTTGCAGCGTCATGGCCGTCACGGCCAGCGTCTTTTCGAGGCGTCGAGCAATTGTTGCTGACTTGGGCCAGCAGCCGTTGAAACAATCCTGATCCATGCAAAGCAGTGAGATGCTGACACCAGAAACCGCGGCAGGACTCTGGTATATAACTTGAGGTTTGCCTCAGTTGTTTCGTTTGAGCCACACCCGTGTGGCTGCACATCTAAACATGCGCGTTCGGTTGGCTTTGGAATGCACATGCCTGTGAATCTGTGACCTTGATGCAAACCCATTTTGGACAGGCAAGCCAGCGCTTCTGCCATTGGCAGTTTTGTTGCTAAGTGCGTCGTGTGAGTGAAGAAAAAAAACGTGTGCCTAAGGAACAGTGTGTTGACATTTGCACGCCTTCGTTGTTGGAATGCGCGCTCTCGATTCCGAGACCGTGTGTTGTCACAAGCAGTGGTGCCATTTTGGGGGTACCCTTCCTCGAGCAGCCACGTGTCTGGCAAGCAAGCACTCTTTTTCAAATGGCGCACTGTGACAAGTTACAATGATTCAGCTGCAAAAATGCTACCAGCGTTGGGCTTTGCGCATTCCACAGCAGCCGAACCAAGCCTTAGTTCGCAAGTTTACAGGGTTCTGGGGGCGGAACAAGCATGGAGAGTGGTGTGGACATCACTTCAACACACATCTCCCTCACGAACGAGGAATCGACTGCATGCATTGATCAATGCGTAACATTGCTCAAAATGAATACTAGGCCATGCGGACAAGCAAGTCAGAGAGAGACACCAAGAATGCCGATGCTTTTTAGGCTGTGTAGGATATGTGCCTTCTTGAAGTGCGCAAACACTGGCGGTTAAATATCACAAACGTGAGCATGCTTCCCTTTGAAGCGAAGTCACCAGGATGCTTCGAAAATCGAAGCTTTCCTCCATATCGTCCATCGTCCGCCTCACATCCACTGTGTTTCAAAAGCGCAATGTTTCAAAGGAAGGGCAGCCTGTGTTCAAACTGGGCGCTTGACCGCGTGAAGTTAGGGATGCACGAACAAAAGTACAATTGTTGGAGACATGAGCCGCTAAGTGGCTAGCAAGACTGCTTGGATTCTTGATACTCATGCAAAGGTGGTCATGACAAGTCAAAGTCCGAGTGGGGGGTGGGAGATCCATACCTTGATCCACTACGGGGAAAACACAGGGTGGAAAAGTGAGTTGAGGCTGGGATCATTGGGTCTGTACCAATTGCATACCGGGCACTCCGCGTCAACCTCCCACGTTGGAGGGGTGGAAGCCGAGCTCTTTTGGTTCCTAGCGACTGAATCAGAGTCCAAAATTGGTAGCGGCATTCCTTATTCTTCGCTCGGCCAATGCTCAACATGAAACAGTATTGGTGGGCGGAAGGGCGAAGATGAAACCCTTGCGCTCTGACACAACCCCGGCGCCCCTCTCATGTGACTATCACTCACTGGCCATGGCCTGTCTTGGATCAGAAGTTATCCAACTCTCCACTCAAACGACCCAGCTGAAAGGACGGTGAGTTGTCTCTCCAACTCATCTTCGCACACCAAGAAACCCTCCGCCCAAGGGCCACTGACTCGGATGGGGGTGTTTATCAGAATCAGCTGACCCCTCGGGCAACCAGCCCAATCCGTCGAGACCTGAAAACTCATCAAGCATCATTGCACCAGCGCGAACAATGCAGCCTGCTTGACTTTGCCAAGAGTTCATCCTTTTTTGCGCTTGCCAAAACCCCAATGCACCTCTTGTCTTCACAGCCTCATGCACCAATTGCATACTCGGCACTCCATCACTTCTGTGGATGTTTCCGAAGGACTCGTGTGGTCCCTGAGGCGCGAACTGCCGGAGTCAACTGCATAAAATCCTTTTTGTGTTCTCCCTGGCCAGAATTCCTCAAGAAACTCTGAACTATCGAGGAAGCCAAGCTCATTGGACGGTGTCTCAAAACAGTGAGCCGCCTGTGGTTATTGTGTGAGCCTAAACTAGAACAGGGGTCCTTACATTATACACCTGAACATGGCCTTGTAAATGGCGGTATCCCTTTATTTTGGTGGAATAGCCATGTTTCAAATGGGCAAAATGTATCTTTTAAGGAGCCCTGTAGAAGCAGGAAGAAACACCGTCTCCTACTTGCTTGCTTGAGGCGAGAATGCCCTGGTGTCCTCAACATCGAATGAGGATGGAATTCTTTCTGCCAATTCAGCATTGAATTGAACTGAGATGCACATTGGTTCTTGTCCCATGAGTTGTCCAAACAGGGAACATCCGCACACAGCCTGTTTTCACGTGTGAGCAAAAAATCCATTGGGGACTCTGGGGACTTCCCTAGACGGATACACATTGATGTATGCCCATTATTCACATAAACTCCTCTGGATGATTTGGTAGACTTCAAAGCTGCTGTCTCAGTACCCAAATTGAGAGTTCTCTTCCACGCCCGGATACTTTGTCTGTGTAATTGTTTTGGCTCAAGTTCGTCTATGACCCGAATATTGCTAGATTCTGGATATTGAGTAAGCCTTAAGTTATAGAAGGATGTCCAGAAGAAGAAAAAAACTGGCCCAAACTGGCCCTTTCATTTTGCGCCAGTCTGTCAGTCTGACTGAATCCAAAAGAAAAACGGGAACATATTTGGCCCATCTTGGTGCTCCTTCCTCGCAGCCATCGCTTTGTTCGCCTAGGGACCTTTCATGGTATCATGTCCCCATGACCTTCATTGAAAGCCCCAAGGCTGTTTTTTCCTAGGCGCTTCCTGGAAAAAAATCGGGCATGCGGCATGCATCTCTGGATCTTAATTGATGATTATTGGGTTCATAGTTCCATACAATAATTGATTGATCTTGAGTGCACTGCAAGCGGTATTTCAGACTTGGCACTTCGAAGCATCTGCCTTTGACGTCAAGCTTGTGTTCCTGAGAGCAAGATCTGCAGGATCAAAATCTCTCATTTCCTAGAAAGGACAGGATGGCTTCAAATCAACATTGCAATCCCAGGACGTAGTGCATCATGCAAACTTGCCCGTCACCCCCGGCTTCTGGAGATCTAACTTGTCCAAAGTGTTCAGAAAGGGAAAGGGCAAGGGGATTGGCTTGAACTCACTTCAGCCACTCACTTCAGCTTTTGCAACATGGCACTATTCGATTCTGTGCAATGTGTGATGTCAATACATTGCCCGCATACAGTATTGCGCACACACAAAATAATGAGTTCTCCGATTCTGTTGATTCGGTCTGCCCTCAAATATAGAATTGCTATGGAAAAAAATGACAACGCAGCTTCGGCCAATGCCCAGATTGGTCTGTTCATCAGCAAGTCTGTCTGCTGCCCGGGCTGCGACGATGGCAGCAAAGGCCACTCCGGAAACCTTCTGTGTGGAGGGCTCGGTTCCTGAGACGCCAAAAGAACCCCATCTTGCACGTTTGTCACACATACAGTAGGTCCTGAGAATTCGCGCTGGCGTTGCTGGTGAGTAAAACAGGTTGGAGGGTCTGGTATTTTTGGCCTGTCTCCTCGGCGTCGCCAAACTCCCTTACGTTGCCGTTCAGTGGACCCTTTTTGGGATGGTGAAAGAAGGCACCAACCACCTGAAGAGGTTGAGCCAGCTGTGCAGCGTTCCCATGTTCCCCTTTCAACATTGTCCCACCGGCTTGATGCCACTTCAAAGACCCCAAAAGGTGATCATGTCCATTATCCCAAAACAAGAATCCGCGAGGAAACCTTCTACAGATCTGTGAATTGTTCATGCGCGGATTTCACAAGCCAACATCTTGTTGTGGCACTTACACACACACATGGATGGAAGTGTGTGTTGATCAGCATACACACAACCCACAACTGATCAACGTGCCCTTGCTGTAACAAATCATCAAGTGCGGGTCAAGTTCACAGCGAGCGACCACAAAGGAACTGTCAAGAACTCTAGCCTCTGATATACGAGGCTTATGAGTGCGGTTGTTGCCCAGTTGCCAGCTGTTCACATTTGCCAACGTGTGCTATAGATCTGACTTGAATCATTGGGTGGCCTTGTGTTAAATTAGGGACTGGGGGGGGGGGGGCGGGGCGGATTCAGAGTGCAAACGACATTGAACCAACTGGTGTCTAGATTTACACACACACACACACACAAACCCATATGCACGACGCACACACCCACGCAAACAAATCGCAGAATTCCAATATGATTTCTTTTTTGCTGAGGCTTGAGGAGCACTGGCGCAACATGCCTCAACATGGATACACATACAAAAAAAACACACACTGATTCAAGGCTTTGATTCTGTGTTCAATACCTTGGGTTGCATGTCAACACGTTCCCCTCTCAATCATAGTTCGTTCATGTTGGTCCTCATACCCCAAAAGAAGGGTGTGTCTTTTGCAGCGCTACATGTTGTTGCGTTGCTGCAAGTGGGGGAACTAAACTGGAAACCACCCAGTCTAGGAGGATACTCCCCTCCTAATGGGGGACAAACCCAAATTTCTAGCGCCAAGCAGCAGTCTTCACCAATGCCAAGGAAGCTGGCCCTTGCTCCGGAATGTTCTTCTCGAGGCTAAAGCCAAATCGCAGCCCAAACGACTTATACCTCAGCAACATGCTTCGACATCTGGTAACCAGACAAACATACGGAGCACCAAAGGAATAAACATCATGAAGAATTGGGTGACAAACCCTTGCGTGTCCAGGCGCTCCTTTCATCTAGTCTTGGCAAAAAAGGAACATGGAGCCACAAGTGGAATCCGCCAACCCCTTTGCCAAAGCCGAGCTTGAGCTGACTAACCCTCCAACTTCTCTGACCTCTGGCCTTTGACGAACGGGCACATGCGCGATCAACCAACCTGGTTGACCTTGCTAGTAGTACGTGTCGCAGAGTCGTTTCACCTTAAAAGCCACGTGGGTGTACTTCACGTAGAGCCTCTAGATGCCCATTCACCGTGTAGACCAGTATCGCATTGGTAGTGTTCTTGTACTCGCATCGACCAATAGAAATCAAATGAAATAAAAACAAAACAAAAGATGCACGAGCAAACAATCTACTTATGCAGCTCGCGTGGACATGAAGAGATTCGTGAGTCCCTCGAACTTTTGCTAGACCCCCAACATCTCTCCCGAATTGACAAACTGGAGCGAACGTCGATGGCACTTTCTCTGGCACTCCCACTGCTGCCACGGTGCTGCGCCAGCCTTGGCTTGAGATGACAGACTCGCATCGCTTCACGTCAAAACGAGAAACAAACTACAACAACGCAATAAGGGCCCACTACGTGCTAAAACACATGAACGCCCATCTGTTGGGCCCACAGGGCAGTTTCCTTCTACAAATGAGTGATTCTGGTGAAACCTCTGATGATTAGGGAATTGCTGCTGGGGGGGCGGGGGGTCTTCCATTCAGCCAAAGCAATAGGACACCTTGTGAGAAATGTGTTATCGTCTATTGGTCCGAGAATGCTGTCTCAGGCCTTCGAGTGTCTAGTTCTCCTATCCAACAAAAGGCACTCTCAAGAAAACTACAAAGGCGCTTCATCGGCGTTGGCTGAACCGGCGGTGGCTGAATCGAATCATCTCGTGCAGGGTTTGCTCTCTTGTCGTTCGTACACGATAGGTTGGCCAGCGGATACAAGCAAAGTGGAGTGACAACCCGCTGAGTCCGCGGCACTGCCTCTCTTCTCGCTGTCAAAAAGTTGCCAGCGTTCATCGTGACCGTATCATCCTTCACGGAAGGCTGCCAATCGATCACAACTGAAAAACACAACTGAATATTAGACGACTATCACATCAGGGGTGTCCTTCGTAAAACGGGCCTCCCTGAGTTTTCCCTCAGCGTGAGACAGAGCCAGCAGGTGGTGTGAGTGCGGAACTTGAGTCACACTCCTCTGCAAATCAACATGAGCATGCGTAGTTGCAGAGGACCCTTTTGCAAGAGCAATTACTCCTCTCACCTAGCGTCAGGCTTGGGATGCTTCAGGCCTTCGATCCAAGCGTCCCGGGTTTCCAAAGGTGTGTTTCCTTTCAAAGCATCACGCCAAAAACAGAAACTCCGGCTCGCTCGCTGCTCGTTTGGCACTCGTAGCACAAAGTCAGCATGAGATAGCTACCCGGCACGCCAAGTCTAAACTTGGTCGCTTTGCGCGGCCCTTCGCCTTACGTTTTTGTCGCAAGCGGCGGGTGCGCTTGATCGGGTGTGCAAATCATTTGGCCGGCGTGGACGCAGTGCCGAGTGCAGGGAACCGGTTGGCAAAAGCCACTCACAAGTTTGAGTGATAAGTGACAAGCTAAGGTTCAACACCGCCCCTACGCATGCTCAATGAATCTACTTTCCCATTATCACTTTCGTACGGGTAAATCCGCTCCAGGCGTGAGAAAGTCTATTGAATAGAGTCTATTGCTTCGTGCCATGGGCTCGAGAGCCGCGAACAACCTAACCCGGAAAGTGAAGCTGCTTTGCGTAAACCCCGCGTCCGGAGCCAATTTCATCTTCGGAAGCCCCGGCCTTCGGCTCCACGGCCCCAAGCTCAATGGCCACCAACGTCAAGTTGTCGAGCGAGCTGCTGCAGAGCTGCAGCATCGCCTCTGCGATAAGGCCCCGACTACATGTTTACGCCTTCGACCTTGCGCCGACAAAACAAAAGACCGGTGCGCCAGCCCCTTTTCCAGCGTCAGATCAACATGTATACATTTTTTGACGTTGCCCAACCAATCAGGTGGATGCTGGAGAACCAGATCAACGCGGCACTGAATGCGACTTGCCCAAACAAGGGGGCTGTCAGCGAGTGGGGCAAGCTCCCTTCAGCCTGAATGAAATAAACCATAAACCAGCTACAAACGGTTTTGTCGGGTTTCTGCCACCCAGCATGCGTTTCCACAGAACACAAGCATTCTGGCCAATATCCTGCACCATGTTCCGGTGGCTAGATTCTTGCATCAAACCTGCTTGGCCGGGTCAACAGCTGTCCCACATCGTGCCGACGAGCGCAAAACTCCCTATTAAATTACAACCTGAAACTGCAATGTTGGTTCCTTCAATTAGATGACACCATATCAGGATTCCTGTTGAACAATGCTCAAATTGAAACAGAGTTTGATCAAATGTCCTTTCTATCACCCGGTCGTGAACATCTGCTCCATTCGGTCCTCCACCACCTGGCCCAGGTCTTTCCCCTTCGTGGCTCTGCGGCAGACCCTGTCGACCACCTGCCGGTGCAGGCCGGCAGGTGAACGCCAAAGCCTACGCCCTATTCCGACCAAAACAAGTGAACAAAACTACCGACACACATCTCAAACATAAAATACCAGGCCTTGACTTGGGTACTGTCGACCCTGGAATGAATGTTTTGTGGACTGATAGGGGTTGTTCCCCTGAGAGTGAAGGATCTCTAAGATGAGACCCACCACCCCCAACACATCAACCACGAGGCTCTTTTTCCGGGGTTCCCCCATCACCCCTCTAGCAAAAATTGTGGCGGATGTGCTTAACTTTGACCCCGCCTGCTCGTTGGAAGCCGCGTCCCAGATCCCGTCGCAGGCAAGAATCAGCCAGTCCCCCCGCGTGGCGTGCCACTTATAGAAGTCTGGCAAGCAGGAGACCTTTTGGTCCTGTCGAGAGCAACACTCACCACTCGGCTGCCCTTACTATGGCTCCATATGGAGCTGAAATGAGGCATGAATTGAATGGATATCCAACCAACATCAAAAAAACCAGCTCGATACGCTAGCCCAAGCCCAAAAGCCAGGTCCTCCGGCCAAAGTGCCTCCTGCTTCAGCTCGAAGGACCCAAGCGCACGGCTGCATGATAGGACGCCATCCACTCGCGGTGGGTCGTCTGGGTCCTCCTGTTGAAACCAACAAGGATGCGTCTGGACGGGCCAAGGAACATTAACAAATACAAGCCAAGTCAAGCACGGCAAAGAACCTCCAAGCAAGCCCACCAGCCAGGCAGAAAGCAAGCAAGCGTGCAAGCAAGCAACATCATGCAAGGCCAAGCAACGCAAGGCCAACCAATGCAAGGCCAAAAAACGGGGCCGAGCAAGAAATCAAACAACAAAGTTGCTCGCTTGCTGGGCCTTGCAAGCGAGGCCAAACGAGCAAGCAAGGCCAAACAAGCAATCAAGCAAGGCCAGGGCAAGGCAAGGCCGAGCAAACAAGACAGCTGGAAGGCAAACAAAGCATCCCTCGATTTGTTTTACAAGATCAAACCAACGCACACTGGGGTTGAAACAACGGTTTTCCAAGCTTAAACTTCAATAAACACTCCGTCTGAATGGTGTCAAACAAAGATATCACAAGCAGCATGAGCAAGACTATTGAATAACACTGTGCCATTCAGCGATTTGCATGCGTCACACGCAGGAGGGGATCTTGCACTTTTCGCAGGTCCCATGTTGGATGAGGAGAGGTTGCTGGGCGATCAACTGGATTGCCCTGCCTGACATGTCAAAAGTCCCTGGGTACGGTAGATGTTTCAACATCCTGCACCTTGATTCCTTGATTGGGGATCATATCAGTTCACAATACATGTGTGAGATTCCAAGGTTCGGGCGCACCTTCTGGCTGCGCATTCAACCAGTTGCCTGACTGTTTGCTTGCTTCCTTCCTTCCTTGGTCAGTCGCCTCTCCCTCTCCGACTCTACGAGGGTCCTTGGTGACTTCCCCACCAGCGGCTTCGATTCTCCGACGCTCGTCCGCGTCGCTGGGCCGATGGTCTCTTGTTGATAGAAGCGTGTTGCTTTCCTGCGCGGCATAGCGACGTGAGGGACATCAGGGGGTTTATACCCTGGCCACATCACATCAGGAGTATTAAGGATGCGGTTGTTTGGTATTCCACTAACATTTGAAGGCCCATGCTTCCAGACATGCATAACACGAAATGGATCAATGGGAGGCAAGCAGAGAACAGCAAACATGGGTGTTGAGGATTCCCTCAAATCAGCAAAGTTCGCTCACCTTAAACGATGAGTTGCGCCTTGTAAGCCCCCGCTTAAGAGAGCAAACAACCAAACTCCCTGAAAGAAGGTTCTTAAGTCAGCCTTTTTTCCCCTGATCAGGGCTGAAAAGTCATTCCTTCCAGCTCCCCATGCCCAAGCGCCTTCTGCCATAAGACAGCGCGACAATCTCCACAACTTCCCACTAAGAGCTCGAGAGCGTCCTGTAGCAGGCGCCAAGCCACCCGCAATCCAGAATATACCTTTGTTTACCAGCAACATGGGGAGCCGCTGTAGTGTCGACAATCTTGCCTAGACCCTCTTGCTAAGCGTGTCCCTTTTTAGCAAATGAACTATTGCAGCATTAAAATATATATATATATCAGGTCGCACAGCTGTCCGCCAAGAGGTCACTTTCATTTGCGTAGCGCTTGCATCACAACACCAAAGTATCTCAAAAGCAACATGGGAGCCAAAGCGCGCCCGGTCCTGGGAGCTCTCCTTGACACGCACAACTGTGGCCTCACAGGGTCCCGCCCTCCCGCCACCCCCCTTGCGGGGGCTCTACCCGGCTGGGAGGCTGGTTTGGCGCTTGCCTTGCGACCCCAGAAGCGCGGGTTTAGATCCAGCGTTCACGCAACATGGTGGCAGGCGCAAAAAGCTGCCTTCAATGTCACAGCGACGCGCAAACCGCACCTATTTGCCATTATTTGCCGCTGCGGCTTCATGCCAACTTTAAGTATGAATTGCACACTTGACGGCTGGGCCAGGACGAACGGAGGCTGCAGTAGTGTTTCTTTCTCTCGCAGCTGGCAAAACGCTTTGTAAAGAGCCAAATGCATTTTTGATGGCAGGGCCTTGCGAGAAGTTTGCAGCTGTTTGAAAGACGCATCCCGCCAAAAACAGATTTGTAAAGATCCAAACGCATTCTGGACGGCTGGGCCACGTCACGGCGAGATCGCACTTGCAAATCACGGCTGGAGCTGGGCTTGTGGAGTCGGTGTGGCTGTGGTTACACAAGATCATCACTACGAGTTTTAGCTTACACGGCTGCAACCATATTTAGGGGTCTCGTGCCGACAATCCCCCAAATCTTCAACACTCAGCCCTTGAAATCATGACAAATCGTCTCCCCCCGACGCTTTGATCTGGCCCAAGCACCGTGGTGCCGGCTTCGGTCTGCGGCAGGCGCTCGCGCAGCTCCGCGTCGCAGGCCTTGAAGGCCTCCTGCCACTCGCTGGCAGTCTCCGCCTCACAGGCACTCGTGGCCATAACGGCTTCGACTGAAAAAGAACATGTGGGTTTGCCTCTTGACAAAGCCTCATGGACGAAGTTTGAGATCCGACTCTGGAAGAACTGTTGCACGTATTGGGTAGAAGGAATGTCAAAATATTGACACCCTAAACCACCGCAGACCAATTTGCATGCTGGTTTCGACACAAAGACACGTTGGAACGACACTCTCCCCAGAATGAAAACGGAAATGACATCGGAACGGGTTCCAAAGGCGCAAGCTAGCTTCGAGACATACAAACCGTCTAGCCTCTCTAGCCCTTCCTACGCAGGGTTTCCCATGCCCCAACCCAAACTTGGACCAGGACCTTAAAAAAGCTTTCCTAGCCACAAACATGTGGAGGATCAATCCGAATCAGTATCCCCCCCCTAAAGACTGAAACAAACAATCCAGCCCTGAAATTGCTGCCAAATCAAAGCAAAACTCAATGCTAGCATAGCTAGCTTTCGTGGAAGCCAAAAGGAAGCCAGTGCCGTTGGTGGGTGTGAGGACTCCGAGTTCAAGGCGCAGCCATTGCGCCGCCAACCCACACGCACACGCACACACACACACACACGCATACACACACCAGGCGCCTTGGCCAAATGCAGCGGAAGCCTCTCCGCGCAAAAGGCGGCCGCCTCGTCACCCAAGTGGCCATCAAAGACGGCCACAAGAGCGGCCGTCTGGTCAAGCACGTGGAAATCCTCGAAGCTGGTTCTGTCGCCCTGGCGCACGGTCGATTTGAAATCCTGGCGCGGAACTAAAAGTTTGTGTTTGAGCAGTCGCTCAGCTGCGCGCGGGCGAGCGCCGACAAAATATCCTCAGCACCCTGGCATCTTCCCAACCCAACGAGCATACGCTTCACATTCTGTGCCCCTAACCCTCGCTTTTGCAGACTCTAACCTAGGTACGAATCAGCAAGCACCACTCAAATTGAGCAAACCCAAGGCTGTTTGCCAGCGGCCAGGGTGGAACAACCTTGGAATGAACACAACATCCAAATGTTCTGGCCAACACAAGTCCAAACTTTCTCCGTCAAAATAGTCTTCAAGTATAAAGCGCAAGAAGCCGCCCCCTTGCCTGCATACAGGCCGACGCCGCCCGGCCAAGATTCCCCTGGCTGCGGCGCTGCACCGTGGCCGTCACGGTCTCTCCCAGCACCATCTTTCACGACAAGATGCCGAGTCAAAGGAGAAACTCCAAGGAAAGATGCGGGACATCAGGGCCTTTTGTCGAGCTGTTCTCCTGCACGTCGCATTGCGTATCGGTGCGTCCTTGTAGAATGTGTAACATTTGAATCCTTGACCCTTGAGCCAGCTGCCAGACATCATCCACGCCAAGCAAAAACAACGGAATCGATGGAGCAGGAAGCAGAGCGAAGCAGGCCTCTCACCACCGGAGAAAGATCAGGACCCTGTCAGTTTATCCTCCAGAAAGATAGCGCAAACACAGGCATCGATATGTCTTAGCATGCCGGCCGGTGTCGAAATCAAACACGCCAGTAGCTTGAAGCGTCCTCCGAATTGCGGCCCACCTGGTTCTGTTTTCAGGGTACCCTCTCTTTGGTTGACTTGAAGGGGAGTCAAACAAAATTCACCCATTGTGAAAAGAACCCCAAGTTTCTTGTGCAACAGCCCGCTTTTCTGACTCTAAGGAATGCAGTATGTGTGTGGGTGGGTGTGTGGGTGTGCAAGTCACATCCTTGTGGGTGACAGGCCGCGATGGTAAACTGCCGACTGTAAACTGCCGGCTCTCAATGGGCACCAGAATGATTTTGACACCTGGAATGCTCTGAAGATGATGGTCGGAAAAAGTCATGAGCGTCCCTTTCAGTGGTGGCACCGGTCTAGGGAACCCTGCATGGCACGTTGGAAGAATGAATATATTTGTTTTAACCGGAATCGGTGGTTTCCTTTTGGCTTTCCTTTGATCAGCTCCAAAGGGATGCTTTCAAAAATATGCGGCTCACACTGGGCTGCTTTGTAAGACGCAAGGAAAAGCAACGCTGCCCCCTGGTTTGCAACCATACGGCGTCACTAGCGACTCGCAAGAACTTTGTGCACGTCGCTAGCGCTGCTCATCGTGCGGCCTGCGATACGCTGCGGCCGCTGTACAGGCAGCACCTGTCTCGTGCAATTCAGGGCTCGAGACATTCAGAACAACATAGCCTGCCTTGCGGATTCCCCCTTTTACAGGACACCTAACATTGACCCAAGAGCCCCCAAAAACCTTGGGTCCGGAACCATGTTCCGAAGCCCCGCCTGGGGCTCCACTGCAAGTTATGTTGGAGAACTAGATCAGCGCAGCGCTACATCTGTGTTGTGGGGGGCTGTCAGCAAAAGGGGCACGGTTTCTTGAACTGGAATCAAATAAACCAACTACAAACAAACCTGCTTGGCAGGGTCACTAGCATTCTCAGTGTGGGTGTGGGTGTGTGTGTGTGTGGTGTGTGTGTGTGTGTGTGGTGTGTGTGGTGTGTGTGTGTGTGTGGTGTGTGTGTGTGTGTGTGGTGTGTGTGTGTGTGGTGTGTGTTGTGTGTGTTGTGTGTGTGGGTGTGTGTGTGTGTGTGGTGTGTGTGGTGTGTGTGCGTGGTGTGTGTTGTGTGTGTGTGTGTTGTGTGTGTTGTGTGTGTGTGTTGTGTGTGTGTTGTGTGTGTTGTGTGTGTGTTGTGTGTGTTGTGTGTGTTGTGTGTGTTGTGTGTGTGTGTGCTGTGTGTGTTGTGTGTGTGTTGTGTGTGTGTTGTGTGTGTGTGTTGTGTGTGTTGTGTGTGTGTTGTGTGTGTGTGTTGTGTGTGTTGTGTGTGTGTTGTGTGTGTTGTGTGTGTTGTGTGTGTGTGTGTTGTGTGTGTTGTGTGTGTTGTGTGTGTTGTGTGTGTTGTGTGTGTGTTGTGTGTGTTGTGTGTGTTGTGTGTGTTGTGTGTGTTGTGTGTGTTGTGTGTGTTGTGTGTGTGTGTGTTGTGTGTGTTGTGTGTGTTGTGTGTGTTGTGTTGTGTTGCGCTGTGCTGTGTTGTGTTGTGTTGTGTTGTGTTGCGTTGTGTTGTGGTGTGGTGTGGTGTGGTGTGTGGTGTGGTGTGTTGTGTTGTGTTGTGTTGTGTTGTGTGGTGTGGTGTGGTGTGGTGTGGTGCGTTGCGTGTTGTGTGTTGCGTGTTGCGTGTTGCGTGTTGCGTGTTGCGTGTTGCGTGTTGCGTGTTGCGTGCTGCGTGCTGCGTGTTGCGTGTTGCGTGTTGCGTGTTGCGTGCTGCGTGCTGTGTGCTGTGTGTGTTGTGTGTGTGTGTTGTGTGTTGTGTGTGTTGTGTGTGTTGTGTGTGTTGTGCATCGCGCCAGTGACAGGAAAAATCTACAAAATTACAACGTGAAACTGCAATGGTCGTCCCTTCAATGAAATGACATATATCCATATAACAGGATTCCTGCTGAACAATGCTTACAGAAAAACTATGTTGGTTGGATCTGTCTCTGCGGCAGACCCTGGCGACCACCTGCCGGTGGTCAAAATGAGTTGGAGACCCTTACAACCCCAGAGCCGAGCCTACACTTTATCTTGACCAAAACTACCCACACATGTAGAAGGAAAAATACCAGGTGACTTGGGGAATGTCGACCCTGGAATAAAAACATGTTTGTGGACTGATAGGGGGTTGTTCCCCGCAAAAAAAAAAAAAGGTCTCTAAAATGGGACACCCGACCCCGCAACAAATCAACCACAAGGTTCTCCTTTCGGGGTTCCCCCATCACCCCTTCCAGCAAAAAAGCGGCCGATGCGCTTAACTTTGACTCATCCCAAATGCCAGCCAGTCCCCCAGCATAACATGCCGACACGAAACCCTTTAATCTTGTCGACCAACACTCACCACTCAGCTGCTTACTCCCCTTACCGTGGCTCCCCATCGAGATGAAATGAGGCATGAGTTGGATGGATATCCAGCCAACATCAGAAGAGCCTCCGACGTTGGGCAAGGGGTCGCAGATAGCGCTCTTTTGGTTCCTAAAGCGACTGCAGAATCTGCCAGCAGATCCAAAGTAAGAACAGCATTCCTGATTCTTTGCTCGGTGACAAATGCTCAACATGAAAAAGTGGGAGGCGGAAGGCCGCATAAGATGAAACCCGATCGGGTGTCTGAACAAAGCAAGAAGGATGAAAATGGCGCCCCTTCGGATCATAAGCTAGCCAGATCACTCTCCGCCCAAAGCCAGTTGGAAGGACGGTAAGTTCCGGAACCACTTTGCGCATTATGAGAACGCCCTGC